AAAATAGTTGCCTTTTTAAGCCATTATATTTTGGGATCATTGGTTATGCAACAGTAGATAACGAAAACAGACTGACTCTATCAGAATCACCAACGGAGCTTGTCAAAATGCATATTCCTGGGCCCCAGGTGCAATTCCCCAGGGATTCTGAAGTCTGGTAATGGGACCCAGTAACCTCAATTTTAACCTAGCTTCCTGGATGTCTCTGGTAGACACTGGAGTTTGAGAGACATTCCTTTAGAGCTATTAATTCATTCATCTATCTAGTCTACCATCATCTTTTTACCATTACTAGAAATCTGGCCATGTGCTGGGCTCCAGGGATAACCCAGAGACCATGCCACTCTCTCTGCCCTCAGGGACACCAAGGACCAAGCTGGGCATCTGACAGTCAAGCACTAGTTGAAGGAGGAGACCCTGAATCTTCTTCCCTGTAGGAGGCTGAGGGACCAATCCCAGTTCCCTCAGAACTGCTATAATTGGTTCAAGACCTCCCAAACTCAGTCCAATGCATTAACAATTGGTCATGGCCAAGAAATTAGGAGAAGATGGAATTCACTGATATTTCAGGAATAGCCGTCTCAGCAGAACCTTGGGATCTCTGAGGTTGAGGTTGGCTACCTGATGGTTTCTGTCACCTTTTATTATAAGAAGGAAGCCAGGGTCTCTATGGGCAAGGTAGAAACAACTTCAGCCCCAATCACAGATTTATTTGTCCTTGAAAATGACATTCATGTATATTTTCCCCCAAGTAGAAAAGTGACCATAGATAGTTCATTACAGAAAATGAGAAAATACAGAAAAGCATTTCAAACAAGCAAACAAAGCCCCCCTCAGGCATCTAACCACAGTCTAGCAGAACGTTAAGAGGCTGCTTGAGTCAGGCACACCTGGGTTTGAACCCCAGCTAAATGTAAGCTCCCCCAGGCTTGGTTTTCTCTTCTGTGACTATATTGCCTACTGTGCAAGGCTGTTGTGAGGATTAAGTAGGAATATCTGCACGTGTGTATGTCGTTACCATTATCTTTGCTAATAGTCAGGGGAGTATTTCTTTCTAGTCTGATTCCCTTTATATGCCAGTATTTATTGTTGGTTACTTAATAGTGCCTTGAGCCCCCTCCCCTCTGTACCCCCCAGCATTCTAATGTCCCCATCAGAGGCAGGGCTGTGTCCAAAGGAATCCTAGGTGAAGAGATGGTGGCGATGGACTAGGGGGGTAGGAGTGGATGATGAGAGGCCAGAATTTGGACGATGAGTCCAGGGCTCCCCCTTGGCTCATCCAACTCCCTCGGAGGTTTAGGGAAAACCCAGAGCCCAGAGAGCCTGACAGCTTCCCTGTGGCTGCTCCGTCTTGATGTGTGGCTATGGCAGCTGTTCTTTCAGATTTTCTGGGGCAGTGCTACATGTCCTGTAGTCTAGTTTAGTCCATATAATATTGTACATAAAATAGCAAAACATAAATTCTATGTGGCAGCAGCAAGGCAATACATTTACTGGTGTTATATAGGAGGTGCTATTCCATCTGTATTTCTGCCCTTGGGAGGAAATCAGTTTTCTTATTATTATGATACCTATCCAGATGTTGTGCCTCTGCAACAGGAGGAAGTGAGCAGCTCCCTCCTTTTCCAAATAACACAAAGCAATGGATGACCAAACGCACAGACTTTGATGAGAACAGCTATAAGATCGAATCCCTGCTCCACCAACTAATTATTCACTGGGAGAAATTTTTAACGTCTCCAAGTTCATCTCTTCCCATTTTTTTTTTTTTTTTCTGAGATGGAGTTTTGCTCTGTCACCCAGGCTGGAGTGCAGTGGCACGATCTCAGCTCACTGCAACCTCTGCCTCTCGGGTTCAAGTGATTCTTCTGCCTCAGCCTCCCCAGTAGCTGGGACTACAGGTATGTTCCAGCACACCCGGCTAATTTTTTATATTTTTAGTAGAGACAGGGTTTCACTGTGTTAGCCAGCATGGTCTTGATCTCCTGACCTCATGATCCGCCCGCCTTGGCCTCCTAAAGTGCTGGGATTACAGGCGTGAGCCACCACACCTGGCCTGACTTTTTGGTTTTTGTGTGTGCTTAAGATTATTGTTGCTGTTTTGTTTTGTTTGCTAGTTGCTTAATGAACAGGAATTGGGAGTTTTAATCAGAGTCTTCCTTCATATGATGTACAGCCTGTCATCCGCAAATTTGCTTGTATTAATTAAGAAATGCATGTGGTTCTCACCCAACAATGTGAGCGTGGACATTCCCACACTGTCTCGGAGAATCCCAGAAGAAGACGCAGTAGAGGGGAGTGGTAAGAGCGTAGGTGGTGAGGGGTCCTCTTTGGCATACACTTCTCCCTCTCAGGGTTAGGCAAAACTCTATTTATTGTAATAATATTATAATAAATAAGAATATATCATAAGTATAATAATATAATAATAATATTTTCCTCCAAAGGGCAGAAATATAGATGGAATAACAATTCCTATTAATCCTTGATCCAAAGAATCCTTCAGGAATTTTATTATACATAAATTTTGGAACAATGTGGATCTAGAATAGGGAAACAGTTATCCAGCTTCCTTTAATTCTTGTACAGCGTTGCTTTGCCACGACTTATTTCTGCTTGGGCCTGCTGCACATCCTGCCGTCCAGATGGTCTCAGCTCTGACCCCAGCCCCCACATCTCTCTGAGCACCAACCTCAGATCCCAACTGTCAACCAGATATTTTAATTTGGATCTCCTGCTGTCCTTCAAATGCAGCATGCCTGAAATAAACCTCAATTCCACTGCTCCACCCCTTCCCCCAAAGAGACGCAACTTCCTAAATCTCAATTTCTACCAAAAGTGCCATTACCTTACTGTGATGAATATGCTGGAGTACTATTTGACTCCCTCCCCGACTTCATCTTTCATAGGTAAGCTGATGCAGATGTCCACCATATTTCTCCTCTGCCTCCCTGTGCCAGACTGGGTTAAAATCGTCTCACACTTACACTATCGTTTCATCTTCCTAAGTAGCTCCCCAACCCTCCCTACCCCATTATGCTCCCCTCCAAATCACTGTTATGTACCAGACTCATCTTTTAAAATAACACTGTAGTGCCATCAATGTTCTGCTCACAAAAGCCTTCACTGACTCCACAACCCCAGAAAATAAGATCAAAGCTCAACAGGCTTCTAAGACCCTCTAGAACGTAGTTGTCCCTACCAATTCAGCTGCATCTACAATTACTTCCCAATATAAACTCTCCACTCCAACCCAGGCCATTCTCCTCCCTGTCCTTCTGGCTGGCCCCTGACCCTTTTCTTCCAGGAGAACCCTAAGTTCTGCCTGTTAGATGTGTCATTCAGGACTAGACACAAAACAGCTCTTCCACCAACCAGCTGCCTCTCCCAGCTCACACCATGTTCTTTTCCTTCTCTGAACATGGCAGATCTTCATGCCTCATGTCCTGTCATAATTCACACCATAAGCCATCTGTTTCATATAACATACTAATGGCCAGGAACTTCCTTCGTCTTCTTTGGTACCCAACCTCCTTCTACTACCATCACCACCACCACTATCACAAGGAATCTAGGGTTGTGCATATAATAGTAAATAAAAAAATACCTCATGAATCAGATTCTATCAAAAAAAGAAGATGGAGAAAGAGGAAATCAAGGAAACAAAATAGGAGGAGAAAGAGAAAATATTGCTGTGTTTTCTCTTTGATGCCTGGGTATGCTGTGTGCTCATGCTATTGCTCAGATTTACAGACTATTTGAACTGAAAGGATCTTAAAAATCACTGAGTGCAATAATATAAGGCTGACCATGAAGACTTATTAAAAACTAGAAATAACGTATCTGGCCCAGAAAAAACAATAAAAAAGATGAGCATCATTTGCCAGCTGTGTGACCTTTAGAATGTCACTTGACCTCTCTGTTCCTCAGTTTCCTCATTTTTGAAGAGTGAATGATGTAACGCTTATTGAGGAGCCAAATGAGATGCTGTAGGTAAAGCACTTGGCCAATGCCTTAAACATGGTAAGTGCTAAGTACCTGCTAAGAAGAAGATCCCTGTCCAGGCTTTGAAAACGTGTAAAGCAAAATTTCTTGAAGGCTGGTTATAAATAATTAATTTATTATTAATAATAAACTGTGAGAACATTTAATGGGGTGTTTCTATGGTCTCAATATTTGTGTCACCCCAAAATTCATCAATTGAAACCTAATCCCCAAGGCGATGATATTAGAAGGTGGGGCCTTTGGGAGGTGAGTAGGTTATGAGGGCTCCACCTAGTGGATGAGATTAATGTCCTTAAAAACGAGGCCCGAGAGAGCTGCCTTCCCCTTCTGCTATGTGAGGACACATAGCGGGTGCCATCTATGAAGAATGGCCCTTCACTGGACACCAGATCTGCCGACCCCTTGATCGTGGACTTCCCAGCCTCCAGAACTGTGAGCAATAAGTTTCTGTTGTTTATAAATTACTCAGTCTAAGGTATTTTGTTAAAGCAGCCTAAATGGATTAAGACAGTTGCTTAATCCATGTAAGAATAGCTACATCTGTACCTATTTCTATGTTTACTTTGGATCATGATATAAAACGTATTTCTAACTGTGGGTCACAGTCAAACAAGTTTGAAAGCCGTTGGATTATTAAAGTCCTCCACTAATAAAAACGGAGCAGCATGCCAAAACCTCATGTGGAATGCTAGGTGCTACTTTAAGAGCAATTTCATCTTCCATCTTCTCTGGACCTTGGTTTTCCATCAACACCTCAGTCCTGCTAATGTTGTCTTTATTTTTCATGCATCTGACATGTAATCCAGACCACTGTTGCCACACTAATTAATGTAGAAAGAATTCACTTGCATGCAGGCCTAAATTCTCCAACCTATGGTTAGGTCTAGCATGTGTCTTTCTCCAGCAGATGGAATGCTCAGAAACCTTGAGGAAAGAGGAGAGCTTCTGATTTTTGAAAGATGCTTCAACTGGTAACTCTGTCTTGCATTTTGCAGTGATTCTGTCACCCACATTGTAGCAGAGAACAACTCGGGTTCAGATGTTCTGGAGTGGCTTCAAGTACAGAAAATACAAGTTAGCTCACAACCAGAACTCCTTGATGTCTCCTGGCTGATAGAATGTATAGGAGCAGGGAAACCGGTGGAGATGACAGGAAAACACCAGCTTGTTGTAAGTGTCATGGGTGTGATTTTCACTGTTCTTTGCTTGATGGTTAAGAACATAAGCTTAGAATCAACAGAGTTGGGGTAAACCCTAGATTCTCTGCTTACTTCCTGTGTGACCTTGGGCAAGTCACTTAGCTTTACAAAGCTTCAGTTTCTTCCTTTATAACATGACATAACAATAATGCCAGCCTCACAAAATGGTCATGAAGATTAGAATAATATACATGTAAAGCACTTAACACAGTGTGTTAAGTATAGTAGGCACCTTATGAGTGGTAGCTATTTTCCTGAACACATTTACACACAAATATTTCAAAATATTTAAGCCTTGATATTCTGGCAGCCAGAAAAGCAGGAGATTCCTTTTTTTCTCTTACTGTGATCATTTAGAAAACAAAAGAAAACAAAACAAAAAATTAAGCTCTCAATTCCAAATATTTGAGCAATTGTGCTAGAATCTTTGGGAAGAGGGGTTGGACCATAAGTACATAAGTTCATAGAAAAGGAAGGTTATATTTAATTGATAGGTCTTTTCGTGTTTTTTTTTTTTCAGATTTCAAAAAAATACATGTTGATAATAGCAAGTTCAAATATTAGAGATGTATATAACATAAATTTTGAGTCTCCTATAATTTTATCCTCCAACCACAGACAACTACTTCCAAATGTTTCCATATATATCTATTATTACTATTAATTTTTATTGAAAATGGATGCTTATGCATTTGTTTAGGTGAGAAGAGACTATTCAGATAGCACCAATCCAGGCCCCCCGAAGACTCTACCAACTGCTGTACAAAAGATCTCCCAGTATGCGTGTCAGAGAAGAACCACTTTAAACAACTGTAACCAGATATTCACGGTAACAGGACTTGACATCAACACCCAGGGCAAACGAAGGGCTTGCAGCTTCTTTCCATGGAGCCACAAATTAAATTATAAATTTTTCTGAAAACTTGGGAAAGTTTTCCTCCCACCTACCCACAGCCCTAGCCTGATCTCTGATCCTTCTATCCTTCTTTCTATCAAGAATGGGTCTCCTTCCTTCCGGAAATGGACAAATACATTTAGGTTATATTCTTTACAGACAGCAGATTACTATTTACAGAGAGTTGTCATTAATGGGCACAACACTTTGTCAAAGGCAAATATTCTGAACAAACAAATATTGGAATTAGTTCAAAACATAGTAAGAGTAAATTACATAGAAATGGTAACAATGCATCAACAGCCTTTGCTGGGAAACCAAAAAATTGAGCAAACCTAGATTCCAGCCTTTCTGATATTCACTAGTTTGGGCAAGTCAATTTCTCTCTCTGAGTCTGTTTCCTCATCTATTCAAAAAGAAATTGGATAGATCATATCTAAAGCTCCACTCAGCCCTCAGATTGGTCATGGTGTTTTGAACGGCCCTGGCCCTAAAAGCTCACAACTGCTTGTCTGTTAGCCTAGAGTCAGTGGTTAGCTGGATGAAACATGTAGTAGTAGATCAATACAGAGCTTTTCATTTCTAGACTTCCAGCTCTATGTCTGTGTTGGAAAGACCAGGAAATTGTAGTTAATGGATATGCCGAGCATGAGATCACACAGCTGCAGCTGCTTCCTCCCCTGCTAGAAATGCAAACATGCCCTACCTTAAATAATCCTGGCTCTGGGTCAGTGTGCCTATGACTAAACTCATTCATTCAACAAGCCTGTGTTAAGCGCTGTGTTTTACCGGGATGCTCAGTGATCAAGGCAGAATTCTAGCCACAGGCTAGTGGGAAGATAGTACAGAAGGAGGGATTATGCTGAGTCATGACTAGCAAGATGCTGTGAGCACCAAAGCACTCTTTAGTTAAATCATCTGTGAATGTTTAAAGGCAGTGTACTCCAAGTTTCTGTATAATGCACTCTGGTACCTGTCTTTTCAATTCAACTTTACTCCATGACACAATAGAGGAGTACAAGGGTATGGGAAACCCCATTCCGACCTAGAAGGAAACACTCAAGTGGTATTCCAATATTTAAAGGAGAGCAAGAGGCCTTTGTGAGTGACCACTGACTCAGGGGCTTGGAAGCAGATCTCTTGCTTATCTGGTTTTATCCTTTAGGATGCCTTTGATATATTGGCTGAAAACTGTGAGTTTAGAGAAAATGAAGACTCCTGTGTGACATTTATGAGAGCAGCTTCTGTATTGAAATCTCTGCCATTCACAATCATCAGTATGAAGGACACAGAAGGAATTCCCTGCCTGGGGTCCAAGGTGAAGTGTATCATAGAGGTAAGGGTGAAATGGGATTTGTCCCACTTCCCAATTGGTAGGTGGGGAGGGGGGAGAGAGAGATGTAGCTAACAGATTTTCCTGTCAACTATGTAGATGTGGTGTACATCACAAATTTTCCTTTATACACGTTCCTCTCGCTCTCCTGTTTCTCTGTGTGTGTGTGTGTGTGTTTATATATATATGTATATATATATTTATAATATCCTAGTCACATGAGGAAAGAGGAGAGCTTCTGATTTTTGAAAGATACGTTAGTGGTGGCAGGTGTCAGAGTTACTGATAGTGAATCCGTTCGGGTCTGCAGCAACCCCAATTATTGCTTCTGCAGAAGAAAGAATTCGACTGAGGGGCATAAGGCAGAAAAAGAGACTGAGGCAAGTTTCAGAGCAGGAGTGGAAGTTCATTAAAAAGCTTTAGAGCAGGAAAGAAAGGAAAGTACACTTGGAAGAGACCCAAGTGGGCAACTTGGAGGGCAAGTGCAGCGTTTGACCTTTTGACTTGGGGTTTTATACACTGGCATACTTCCGGGGTCCTGCATCCCTTTTCCCATGATTCTTCCCTTAGGGTGAGTCACCCGCGTGCACAGTGCCCTCCTTGTGCTTGGGAGGGGTGCAGACACAGTGTGTCTGCCGGAGTTGTATGCATGCTCACCTGAGGCATTCTTCCCTTTTCCAGTGGAATGCCTCAGAAAATCATACTCTGCCATTTTGTCTCTTAATGTGCATGCTCATGCCCACTCACCCAATTCCTGAGATTTTACTGGAAGCTGCTGATTACCAATTTCAAGTGTTTTTATCTATTGGGAAATTGCTTCTCCCTGGCACCAGCTGTGACCAATTATCATTTTATAGCGTGATAACTGCCAGACTATCAGGGAATTACCGCTCTCTAGCACCAGCTGCAACCAATTATCATTTTAGAGCCATAGCGTGATAACTGCTGGACCATCACCTGATGGTCGCCTGACATTCCTGGTTGGGAGCGGGGAGCCCTCTCCTGCTCCGCTCATGCCCGACTAGCTACCTACTATAACATATAGATAGAGGTATGTTATGTATAATCCATACCCTAATATTATCATAGCAGGGGTTACATGGAGCCAGCTAGTAGAAACAGAACTCTCCCATATTGTTATTAATCACAGTGAAAGACTCAAGTGACTTACAAGCTTGACAGCAGGGAAATGGTCTGATTTCAAACAGTGGCTGCGTGGAGGACCTCAGTTCCACCTGGGGGCGCCACCTTAGAGCAGCGGTGCATTTGACATCAAGTGGAGTTGGTTCTACATCTCTCCAGGGAGAGTGCTGGAGGTTGTGCTTATTTATTGAACGGTGTTTAGGGATTCCCCAGCAAAGCAAGTCGGTCATCTGGTAGTAAGTTTCTATATAGTCAAGTGCAAGGTATATTATTTAAGGACAATTATCCCAACTCTACTCAGAGGAGGGGGGCTCTGAGATAGATATCACAAGGGCTTGAATGTAGATTGGCTTTTTGGTGGGTCCAAAATTAACCTTCTCAATGGAAAAGTCTTCTTATTTCAGTGGTCATATTCATTGAAGAGAAAATTATCACCAATATTTGGACATACATTTTTCAGCAAAGATTTTGGTTTGGAATTCTGTAGATCTGGACCCTAACCATTTGTATCTTTGTTCCTAAGGATCATAAAGGGGTCCTTGGATATATGATGAGCTAGCATTTTCAAGATTATAGAGAAATGTCTTGTTTTCTCCAGATCAGTTAAGGAAATACCCCAGGATGCGATGCATGCACATTTCATGAGAAACCAAGCAACTAGATCCATGAATTTGAGAGTCTTAGACAGTAATTGTCTAACATCACTAATTTAAAGTATTTTTCAACTGTCCACTAGGAGATTATTGAAGATGGAGAAAGTTCTGAAGTTAAAGCTGTGTTAAATGATGAACGATATCAATCCTTCAAAGTAAGTGATTTTACATATATTTATTGAAAATGGCTTTTCAGTTAATCTTATTACTTATTCTGGCTGGTTGTATTAGTCAGCTTGGGCTACAATAACAAAGTACAGAGATGGGTTGGCTTAAACAACAGGAATTTATTTTCTCACCATTCTGGAGGCTGAAAGTTCTGGATCAAGATGTCAGCAGGGTCAGTTTCTGGTGAGGGTTCTCTTTCTGGCTTCTTGCTGTGTCCTCACATGCTCCCCTGCTCACATGGCAAGAGACAGAGCAAGAACAAGCAATCTTTCTGGTGTCATAAAGATACTAATCCAGGGCCAGGCACCATAGCTCATGCCTGTAATCCAAGCATTTTGGGAGGCCCAGGCAGGTGCACTTGAAGCCAGGAATTTAAGACCAGCTTGGCTAACGTGGTGAAACCCCATCTTTACTAAAAAATATGAAAATTAGCCAGGTGTGGTGGGGGATGCCTGTAATTCCAGCTACTTGGGAGACTGAGACATGAGAAAAACTTGAGTCTGGGAGGCAGAGGTTGCAGAGAGCTGAGATGGCGCCACTGTACTCCAGGCTGGGTGATAGAGTGAGACTGTCTCAAAAACAAAACAAACAAAAAGACACTAATCCCATCATGAGAGCCCCACTCTCATGACCCCAAAGGCCCTGTCTTAAATACCATCATACAGGGGATTAGGACTTCAACCTACAAATTGAGTTGGGAGGGGGAATTCAGTCCATAGCTTTGCTCTAGGAAGAAAATGCCTAAATAAATTCAGGTGCTGAGATAATTGCCATGCTATGGTGATGTACAAATTGCCTTACCCTCCAAGAGTCTGTCACTCATGGGTACAAACATCATGGGACATGAGGACCACGGGGGGTTGGTGGGGACAGGACAGAACTGCTCTTAAAGAGCAGATTTGTGTCTGAAAATCTCCTTACTGCCTCTCCATTTAGTTGGAAGCAGGGTTTATTACCTCCCAATTTTCCCTGCCTTAGAGCTGCAGGTGGAAGGGACTTCCACCAGTCCCTTCATTGCAAAAGTGATGTACAGGCCTAAAATATGGCCATGAGCAGGAGCACAGGCTTGGAGTGTAAATAGACCGGGGTTTAAGTTTGGGCTGTGCCACTTCTCACCTGTGTGATGGTGGAGAAACTATATAACCTATAGGAGCATCTCTTTTCAAAATGCGAGGGTACCTATGCAGAGCATGAGTGTCGGTAAGAGACCCAGCAAAGTGGAGAGCCCTATAGAGATACTGTATCACTCATGGACAGCACAGGCAGGCCATCAATTAGACTATACCTAAGCTCTGCACAAGTGCCGGAACCTGCCTGTTACTTCTGTTTCATTTTGTAATGCCACAGGTCAAGAAAGGACTCATCTGAAACAAAAATGCCCTTAAAATGACCATCACCCACCTGCTTGTCATATTCAGGAGGAACTAGGTCAAAGATTGCTTATACTTTTTCTTCATTGCCTGAGACCTAGAAAGGGTCATGACTCGGATGTCATAATGATTATTTTAGAGACTGATAGCATGCCTTTCCCTCCATTTTAGCTCTTCACTTCTGTATTCGGAGTGGGGTTGAAGACTTCTGAGAAGTGGTTCAGGATGGGTTTCAGAACTCTGAGTAAAGTAAGGTCGGACGAAAGCCTGAAATTTACACGAATGCAGAGAGCAGGTAAATTCTCTCCTAAAAGTCATTGTTGCTATGGGCTGGTTGGGTCGGGGTGGAGCTCTAAGTCAGTTACATTGCAACTCCAATCTGGGAGAGCTGGGACACTTCTTTGAGGTCTGTTGATGCTTGGATCTAAATCCTAGCTCCAGCAGTTTCCAGTTGTGTGATCTTGAGCAAGTTAGTTAAAATCTTTGAACCTTAGTTACCTAATCTATAAAAAGGAGATAACATTGATACTTAGCTGGGAAGTCAATCAGATAATGCAGGCAATGCCTCAGCACTGTGTCTGGCACAGAGCAAAGGCACCCTCCACGGTGGCTATTGGTGGTCCTTCATCCAAATGTCAAGCCAGGTTGTGCTGCTGATCTGGTCCTTACTGACTCTTCTGGACATTGGGTCCTGGCTGTCTCCCTGGGTAAGAGTTGTGGGTGAAGAGTCAAAGACAGAAGGGTTGGCTGCTTGAACAAACTAGAGCTGTTGCCTGGCACAAATGTGAAGATGCTCTAGAAACTGTAAAACACCAGGAAAATAGAAGGGAAGTGGTGGAAATGTAGGCACAGGGTTGATGTACCCAACCAAGACTCTTTAGCCTAAGAGAAGACTATGGTGGGACATGAGTGCTGTCATCACCCACCTAAAAGCCTGGCAGGGCCTCTCAGAGGTTGAAGGTAGCCTGGTCACTTCCATTTATGAAGCTCCCAGTGAGTTTTTTAAAAATGAAGGGATGGCAATACAGTGTCAAAAAAATTGTGTGTTTAAAAAAAATGTTTACTTTTAACAGGCAATAAAAATACAACACAGTTGTGATTCAAAAGGAGTCACAGCCACAGTCCCCAGCACCATGGCTCCTAGAGTTATAGAGAATAAAGTCATAATTTTTTTTTATTTTTATTTTTTTGAGACAGGTGCCCACTCTGTTGCCCAGGCTGAAGTACAGTGGTGTTATCAAGGCTCACTGCAACCTCTGCCTCTTGGGCTCAAGTGATCCTCCCACCTCAGCCTCCCAAGTAGCTAGGACCACAAGTGTGCACCACTACACCCAGCTAATTTTTTGTAGAAATGGGGCTTCACCATGTTGCCCAGGCTGGTCCTGAATTCCTGGGCTCAAGCCATCCACCTGCCTTGGCCTCCCAAAGTGCCCAGATTACAGGTGTGACCCACCACACCTGGCCCCAGATTTTTAATGATATGAAAGTAAGAAAATCTGTTGCCAGAGAAGACCAGGAGAAAAAGGTAGACAGAGATTTTCTGTTTAACGACAAAAACAAACAAATAAACAAAAACAAGCAATGGTATAGGAAGCAAATCAAATCGTGGTAGGTCCTATCAGTGATACTACAGAAGACCCCTGCTCATTTTTTTGTAAAGTTGCTCATCTTTGAAAGATTGCTGATAATACAATGCCACATAGGAAATAAAAGAGTCTAAGAAAAAAAGATCCAGTATTTATATTCTAGGACCCTGAAAGCACACGTTTAATAAGCATGATTTACACCAGTTCTCAAGATGCCATTCAAAATAAATTTAAATAAGCATTAAATATAAGTAGCAAGTAAGTGGTTTGGAATGATGAGTAAAGACTCTCAATGCTTAGAGAGAAATTGGGAGGCAATACAGTGTTTCACTTGGATGAAACCCTTATCAAATGACGTCCAGTGTTCTCAGGAACTAAGGGCTTCCAATTCCCCAGCTTTGTAAACTGGATTTTTGCTCTTCCTATTGAGCTTTTCCAACCCTTTGAATGAAGCAGCTTTATTCATTTAGTCAATCAGTGATTTCCATCGAACTGTTTAATGCTACCAGTTCTAGGCAGAAATCAAGGAATGCCCTCCCACTATACTTGTACCCCCACAAGTAGTTATAGGCACCCCTTGGAGCAGCACTACACTGAATGGAATTGTCAATGGGAATAGCTTAGAATACTGTGAAGGGTAAGCTAATTGAACACATTGAAAGGACAATTCATGGGTCAGATGGATAACCTGATTAAGTTTTACTTATATTTGCACTTGATTGCAGTTCCCTGAGGCTTGAGCATGCACATGCCACATTTGCCTTGAAAAGTCAATTTATGAACTATAGCAGCACATATTTAACCTTGTACTGTGTGATAAGTTTCCTGTAATAAGTTAGTCACCCTGCCATACCAAAAAGGAAAGCCAATTAAATTACTTTCATGGATGTCAACAAATCATCATAGTCTTACATGTTCATTCCCGATACCTGCACATCTTCTTAAAGAAATAGTTGTGAATCATGACTTTTGGATCATGTATATCACTGCATAAGCACAGGTGTTTGTGGTTACCCAGTGAGTTGTGCTTTGAATCTTAGTCATGATGACAGTTTCTGTATTAGAGCCTAATAGAACATTACTTCTTAGATCAAACTCCTCATGCTCATAAAAATGGCCATATTGCAATAATTTTTAGAAACGTGGCTTTTTTAAAAAATAAAAAAGAAGTATCAGTATTGATATAAAGAAAGTAGTGTTTCACAAGTGGTGTGGTTTGGTATTGGACACAGTTTATAGGTGTGTTCATATGAATGCCATTTTCTCTTGGTCTTGCCAGCATATTTCTGTGACTGTCCCCATTAGAGATAACATGGGAAGTTTGGCAGGGTGTGCAAGCCAAATGGCCATGCTGCTGCCTCCCTTCCACAATCCCAGGGTGAGAAACAAGGACCAATAGATTTACTCTTGTCATTTCAGAGGGCCAGTGGTAGGTGAAATTGCAAAGAAGTAGACTTAGGCTTTTCAAAAGAAAGAACTGGCGCAACAGAGTTTACAATTAGGAAACAGGCTCCTCTGGAGGTATCAGAGTTCCCCATTATTAGAGTCAAGCAGAGTTTGAATGATCCCCTCTTGGAGACCCTAGATAGGAGAGCAGTGATACGGAAGCATGATTTGATGTCCCTCAGGCTCTATGGATCTAATCACCGGGCTCATCTCACCAATACTTCACCCCAATCCTTGGAGATAAGCCTCCCTTCTCCTTTGCTCTTCCCCTCCAAATCTCCCTCCACACCGCTCTGTGGGAACCACCAAGTTGTCAGCTTTTCATCATAGCAACTCTGAACTTTCATTAATTCGTGCTGGTCAGGCAAAGAAGCAACAAGCTAAACCACCTAAGATATTTCCTGCCTTGCTTCAGACAGACATCTACCCTGCTCCTATTCTTGACTTTAATTTTTTAATGGATCCATCACCTTCCAACTCTAAATCTCCTCATCCCAAATCTTTATGCGTTACCTTTTAAAAAATAGTAGGACACAGCTTATTGATCAAGAAGGCTGGTTCTTCAGTAGGAAGTCAGGTCTGAACAATTTGGATTCCAGAGGGATGTGAAATATTGTCTCCTTCTTAGGAAATTGTAAGCCTCTCGGTTAGAAAGCAAAGAACCATTGTTACCCTGCAAAATTCACAACCAGGAGAATCACATAGATTGTTCTGTCTCTGTGGAAATGGAGTTTGGTGTTGATGCCTGTAGTCATGTTAGCTCTATTGTGGGGACAGAATCCCCTTCCACTGAGGGCTGGTTGTTTCACACGCGCATCACTCTCTTCATTGACCTGTCAAATGACCTCTCAGGATTTCTGTATTATGAAGACCTTGTCAGCTGTGTGACCAGGGCAGAAGCAGAAGCCGTCAGTGTGCTGGTTAAAGAGGCTGTCCGGGCATTTCTTCCGGATGCTTTCGTCACCATGACAGGAGGGTTCCGGAGGTAAATAACTTGGGTGGCTTTGCCTCCTCTGCCCTAATACTTCAGTGGCTCCCTGACTCGGACAGGCATCTGAAATGGCACAAAAGGCCTTTTGTTATCTAGTGCCAGCTTCTTTCTGCAGCTTTGTCTCGTGCCCCTCACATTTCATTTCAGCAACCCCAAATGGCTTGTCATCCCCTGCGCATTCAGAGCTGTTTCTTGCCTTGTTGCTTTGCTTACTCAGACTTCTGCTTTGACGGCCGTTCCTCAAATTGTCACTTGGCTGACTTCCCCTCATTTTTTAAGACTCAATTTAGATGGCACCTCCTCCAGAAAGCCTTCCTTGACTCCCTCCTTCTCCATGCTGGATTAGAGCCCCCTCTTCCATGCTCCCTGAATACCTGCAAAGCCCTTGATCCACAGAGTTTCAGTGATTTGTTCCTGTGTGTGGTTTCTCCACTAAGTTTGTAGAGCTTAGTTCTCAGCAAGACTATTGCATGATGCCTAGCACAAAGTAGGTGCTCAAGAAATCCTGGTTGAGTCAATAAATGACTGACTGAATGAATTCATGAATGAGCAAACACTTCACAGGTATGTATGTGGTTGTTGGATATTGAGGCCTACATTTCAGAAAGGGATTTCTTTCCTCCCACAGCCTCCTCCACCTCTTTCTCCAGCCCTCTTACTTGGTGGCTGCTGGCCATTCTAACAAAATAGGTTTGGGCATGGGAGAAAGTAAGAGAAGATCAAATCTAAGATAATGGCTTTACTCCATGTCATAATTCCAAGACTTCTACCTTGTAGTATGTGAACACAATTATTGGTTTGCTTGTTGTCATGCTTGTCTCTATGTGTGTATGTGTGGGTGCATGTAGGTTTGTGTGAGTGTGTAGAATAAATAATTTTTTGTTATTTTTTGCCCAGATATACATAATCACATACATGCTACATATGACTTTTTCTGTGTCATAAATTTATTTTGTAAGGAATAGAGATGTGTAACCAAGGATATTTTGTTTCTTAAAAAAATGTCGAGAACCTTCTATGTTGCAAATCTTAAGCATAGGACATAGAAACAAAGGTGATTTTTTTTTTTTAAATGAAGACTAAAATCTAATTGATTTCCATTTTATACTGCTTTTGAAAATTAGGGGTAAGAAGATGGGGCATGATGTAGATTTTTTAATTACCAGCCCAGGATCAACAGAGGATGAAGAGCAACAACTTTTACAGAAAGTGATGAACTTATGGGAAAAGAAGGTGAGAAGAAAGATGAAAAATACATGCACACTCTTACATTATGTTAACACTTGAATTTTGCACATTACTTGCCTTTTATTTGCAGCAGCTTATACAAAACCATATGACCTACAATAAGACTTTCCTGTTTTGGGTCCTAGATTACATGTTATGAATATGTCCTGTATCTTGTTTATTTGTACTTACCCTATTGCCAACAGGACCAAGGGTGGCTATGCATTTGTGTTTGACATACAGAGGCATTAAAGCATCCAAACGAAGTGAAAAGCATGCACTCTAAAGACCTGGGAAATGTGAGCCAGAAAGCTGCAAGCTTGGGTGAGGGGGCAGGACTGCAAAGACTGGGATAAAATCAGTCTAAGAGGTGTTGATAGTGCCTTGAATTCTATGCTGGTCAATTACCATCTTGACTTTGTACTGAGATGGAATGAAGGAAACTAATGAGGGCAAGCTGAGCCCTGCAGAGGTCATGGCTAGAAGCCCCCATATATTGCAGAGATCAGACTTGTGACAGGCCTATTGCCTGGTGGAGGAAACCAAAGTAAGCTAAGCTAACCCTGCAGCCAGAGCCACACGCAGGCCCTGACTCCTGTCTGACTCTAGTGAGAGCCTCACTTCCTAGAGAGACCAGAGGGTCCTACCCTTGGGACCTGTAGATAGGCCTGGATGGGCTGGTGTTTCTCCTCACAGCTTCATCCTTCCTGAGTAGTTTGCTTCTGTTGGGTGTGGACCAAGCTTACTGATATCCCAGAAAAGGAAGACCTCAGATAAAGTGAAAATAAAAGCTAGAAACACAACCCTAGGGCCAGGGGCACTGGAAATGAAGACTCAACTTTAGAACCAGATCCAACTTCTTCTCTGAAGCCGTTCCCAACCCCCTCTGTCCCTCTCAGGGGAATGAACACAGGGCAGCCAGTGGCCCTAAGAGTGAACATAATAGACAGAGCCAGGGGATGGCAGCACAAGGAAGAGTCAGCGAAGTGGCCCACTGGTCTGCTCAAGATTTTGTTGATAAACTTTCTTATCAACGAAAGATTCTCATTGATAGACAAGGGAGCATGGCTTGTGGACCCTGCTAGCTGAGGCCTGGTGGAGAGTGGGCTGTGTGGCTCTATACCTGGAGGCCCTGCAAAAATGGACCTCTCTGACCTTGGCCTACAGGCACCCTCCCCTCCCCATGCCGACACTATTAAAGACTGGAATGGGGTAGGGAGATAGCAGCAGAGAGTCCTCTTTCCATTGGTCTTCCCTTAGTTTCAAGGAAGTCACACTTACTGCTGGTCCCCAAGCAGGGATGGGCATTTTATATGCAGGCGCTGCAGCAGAGGCTGATGTTAATGTAAGCACGTGGGTTTTAGAGTTGGGATTTTAAAAGCACAGCCCCGCCATTCACTAGCTATATGACTTGGGATCGGTTACTTAATCTTTCCAAGTTTCACTTTCCCCATCTATAAAACAGGGGTAACAAGCTTCTCTCATTCATTAAAGGAGCAGATTAAATGAAAGAATTAGATAAAGCACTTGGTGCAGTATCTGATGAATGGTAAAAGCCTAACAAATGGTGCTGACTGTTATCATTATCTCTTATGCACAATTATTTGTTGAACTCTGCCTGAAAGCCTGGCACTGGGCCAGGCGAGGGGACTCAGGAGTGGGTACGGATTTACTCTTCCCCTTCACTCACTGACAAACATTGACAGCAGGGAGAAGCTGTGGAGCAGTTTGCAATTTGGTGTCTCAGCCCTGATTAGACCCCTGCAGCTCCTGGTCTGCCCACAACACCTCGGTTGTGAAATCGGCAGATGACTTCTTCATATTTAATTTCCCCCTCTGCCTCACTCCCATGCCCTGCCATGCCGACCAAAAGCTGCGCTTTCCAGGTTATAAAGTCTGTGCAGGTATACACATGCACATTCTCTCACAACATGCACAACATACGCATCCAGTGTTTCAAAACACCTGTGGAGCATAGTGAATAACCAATGGTATCTGGTCGAGTCACCCATCAGATGACTCTAAATGTGATCTTTGTAGGAAACCCCTTGGTCAGAGGTGGGAGACAGGGAAGCAAAAATCTTGGAAATATTGATCTTGGGGGGAGGGCTGCCATCCCCAAAGACTCCGTTAGCCTGAGTTCTCAATGGCACCAGCGGTTCAACCCAAAGAGGGGAGGTTAAATGACTCTGGTTTCGGTTCCTGCCCGGTGGGTGAGACCTTGGGTACGGGACCTAACTGTTCCATGTGGCCACATCTCCAGTTCATGGAACTGCTGGGAGGTGAAAGGTATTGACAGACATTGGAGCGTAAAGAATATATTCACTTTGAGAAACTGACATGAGTTTAAATACTGGGCGTCGAGTTTTCCCAGAAGGAGTTGGAGGGATTTGGAAGCAAAGGGCAGGGAAGGGATCCTGACTAGAGAGCCTCACACTCAGCCTTGTGACCCTCCTCGGAAGGCATCTGAGACTAAATTCGGATGGATCCTTCCTGTGGGAGGTCAAGCTGAGTGCATCTCCGTCCTGCCCTACAGCTCTCTTCCTGAGAACTGGCCGCTCTGTGCCCTGGGGAGGACGGGAGGGGCGGAGAGGCAGGGAAATGCTTCCTCCTAGTCAGGAGTTTCTCAGTGTCTGGTAGGAAAAATAAAAGAACATGCTGATGTAAATATTCAGTCAACCAGTGGGTATTGATGGGGAAGCCAGAGCCCAGAGGGCTGCCCCGTAGATAGCCGGGGTTGGAGTTCTAGAGGTGGCATCAGGGGTTGTGTGCATGTTTGACAGCTGTGGCCTGCTGCAGACAACCTTCTGAACACGCAGACAGGAGCATTACGTTCAAGGATGCGTTCTCAAGCACCTTGCAAAATTCAAGACAAAAGCCCAATAAAGAATGGCCCATTTTTCTCTCACCCACCAAGTGACTCCACCATGTGGCAACAGGACAAGCACAGTTTACTGTGAGGAATCCAGCTTTGTGGCCTTTTTTTTTTTTTTTTAAAGGGAAGGTGTGTTATTACAAATTTGGCTTTCATGTGAGACTTCTTCATATTTTTTATATCTCCTTTTTCAAATTTACATGATTGAAATTTACACAAAAGGCTGCTCTTCTGTACTAATTTTAGCAAGTTTCCTTAAAAAAGTAGAAATGGGTTTTCCTGAGCTGGTGATTAGAAGTTAACTAGGGCAACATCTCCCACCTCCTCCAGAGGGCCTCCCTAGCATTAGTGCTTCCCCCTTCAAATGGTGTTTGTTCTTCAAGGCGTTGAAGGGTGAAGAGTTCCCTCTATTGAGGTCAAAAAAATAAAAAGTATCTTTTTGAACTGAAATAATGTCTTGTGCAGGTTTGTAGAAGAAAGACAAAGCATGACTCCTAACAATAATCAATTTACCAATGATGCTCAAAGTGTAGTCCCGGCCCGGGAACACCAGCATTGCCTGGGAATCTGTCCGAAATGCCTCCCTCGCCCTCCTGCATCACTCTGGGGACAGAGCTCCGCAAACTGCGCTTTAGCAAACCTTCCAAATGCTTCTGATGATAGAGCTTTTAAACATCCAACCTAAGGAGTACATGGTAACAAATCACACATCCCAGTAACTTGATGACATTATTTGAGGGTTACTTGCTGTTTTTGTTGCCAGATTCAGCGTTTGACAGCATGTTTCTCTCTCCTGTTCCCACATCTGCCCTGTACCATCAGGAGCTCCCACCAAGAATGGCAACTAGATTGGTCACATCTTAGAATCACTTGTCCACTTTCTGGATAGGCAACTTTAGATGAAACGTGTCATTAACTTTATCCCACTTTCTCCAAGACAGGTGGAGTAACACTCTCATGAGAAAGAGCCTCCGAAGTGCTACCTAGAAATAGCAAGTCATCCTGCCCCAAAGTTAGACTCAGCCTCCAGCCACAACGCTTCGGGCGGGTTAAACCTAGTCATTGGTATAATATAAAGGGACACTGTCTTTGTCCATTTACACTGCTATAAAGGAATACCTGAGGCTGAGTAATTTATAAAGAAAAGACGTTTACTTGGCCTATGGTTCTGCAGGCTGTGTAAGAAGCATGACACCAAGCATCTGCTTCTGCTGAGGCCTCACGGGGCTTACAGTCATGGCAGAAGGCAAGGAGGAACTGGCAGATGCAGAGGTCACAGGGTGAGTGAGAAAGCAAGAGAGAGTGGGGAGGAGCCAGGTTCTTTGTAACCTCCAGCTTTCATGGAAGCTGACAAAGTGAGAACTCACTCATTACCATGAGGATGAGTCATTCATGAGAGATCTTCCCCTATGACCCAAAGACCTCCCATTAGGCCCCACCTCCAACACTAGGGATCAAATTTCTACATAAGGTTTAGAGGGACAAACATCCAAACTATAGCAGACACTAACTCAAAGCTGCCCTCCCCAGAAACAATATGAATTTTTATTTTATTATTTATTTATTTTTGAGATAGGATTTTGCTCTGTCTCCCAGGCTAGTGTGCAGTGGTGTGATTATAGCTCACTGAAGCCTCAACCTTCCAGGCTCCAGGGATCCTTCCCCCTCAGCCTCCTGAGTAGCTGGGACTACAGACACATCATACCTGGCTAATTTTTAAATTTTATGTAGAGATGAGGTCTCATTATGTCACCCAGGCTGGTCTGAAATTCCTGCAGCATGGCTTTTTGTTTATGGTTGGTTTGTTTTTAAAGGACTAAGAAGAGCCCAGAGCACTAGCTGAGGTTCAGAAGTGGAGATGGAGATTTTCTTGCAGTTTTGCCCTTAAGTGGCTTTGCCTCAGCCTCTCTCATCACTAAATTCCTTTTCTGTAAAGGGAAGATAGTGCAACCACTTTCTTAGTGTTTTCTCCTAGTGTTTGTGGGTAGACCTTTAATGAAAGATCAAACACATGTTCATGTTCTGCTCAGATCTGTAAAGATTTCGTTAAGAATCCAGTATAAAATCATGGCTCCTCTTCGTCAGGGCCTTTTCCTGATGCCATTCTGTTTCTTTTCAGGGATTAGTTTTATATTATGACCTTGTGGAGTCAACATTTGAAAAGCTCAGGTTGCCTAGCAGGAAAGTTGATGCTTTGGATCATTTTCAAAAGTGCTTTTTGATTTTCAAATTGCCTCTTCAAAGAGTGGACAGTGACCAGTCTAGCTGGCAGGAGGGAAAGACCTGGAAGGCCATCCGTGTGGATTTAGTCATGTGCCCCTACGAGCGTCGTGCCTTCGCCCTGTTGGGATGGACTGGCTCACGGGTAAGCGCTACATGGACCCATGATATGATGTCAGCTTTCCGAAAGACGTAGGTCGAGTCTACCTGGGCCCAGGGGAGAGATGATGGCAACAGGGGCCGGGTGACAGGGGAGGGGGCAGTACCCAGAAACCTCTAAATCAAGGCATCCTGTCCACACATGGTCAAATATGACAGATTAATTTAAAACAGTTATTCCCAGTGTGTGGTCCCCAACACCAGCACCAGCAGCCTTCCCCAGGAACAGGTTAGACATGGAAATTCTTTACCCCAAACCTATGGAATCCAATCGGCATCTCTGGAGAGTTCAGCCTGGAAATTTGTGTTTGGAAAAGGCCTCCAGGTGTTTCTGATGCGGCTCAAGTGGGAGAACCACTGAAGTACAGAAACCAGCAAGGGGGTTGAAATAGGAAGCAATTAATAAAGTGAAGAGGCAACTCACAGATTGGGAAAAAATATCTGCACATCATACATCGGATAAGGGGCCGTTATCCAGAATATACAAGGAAACCAAAAGACTCAATAACAAGAAAACAAATAGCCCTGTGTAAAATGGGCAAAGGACTTGAATAGATATTTCTCGAAAGAAGACATATAAATGGCAAGCAGATATTGCCATCTTGCTTAACATCTCTAATCATCAGAGAAATGCAAATTAAAACCACAATAAGATGTTATCTCACATCTGTCAGATTGGCTATTACCAAAAACATGAAAGACAGCAAGTGTTGGTGAGGCTGGGGAGAAAAGGGAACCCTCTTATATTGTTGGTGGTGGTGTAAATTACACATTTTGGAAAATAGTATGGAAGTTCCTCAAAAAACTAAAAATAGGGCTACCATATGACCCAGCAATCTTACTTCTGGGTATATATCCAAAGGAAACAAACTCAGTGTGTCAAAGAGAGGTCTGCACTCCTGTGTTCACTGCAGCATGATACACAATAGCCAAGATATTATATGAAAACAACCTAAGCATCCACAACAGATGAATGGATTTTTAAAATATGGTATATGCACAGTGGAGTATGACACAGCCTTTCGAAAACAGGACATTCTGTCATTTGAGACAAGATGGTTGAACCTAGAGGACATTATGTTAAGTGGAATAAGTCAGGCACAGAGAGACAAATACTGTGTGATCTCGTTTCTGTATATGTAGAATCTAAAACAGTCAAATGTGTAGAAGTAGAGAATAGAATGTAGAATGGTGGTTAGCAGAGGCTGGGGGTTGAGGGCAGAAAATGGAGAGGGAAAAGGGTCAAGAAGTACACAGTCAGTAGGTGGAAGAAGCTCTGTTCTATTGCACAGTATGGTGACTATAGTTAATAAAAATGCATATTTCAAAGTAGCTAAAAGAGAGGATTTTTAATGTTCTTACCACAAAGAAATAGTAGATGTTTGAGGTGATGGTCATGCTAATTAGTCTGATTTTATCATTCTGCAATGTATATACATGTATCAAAATATCATATTATAACCCACAAATGCATACAATTATTATATGTTAATTAAAAATAAAATCAAGCTATAAGATTTTTTTGAAAGAATACCAGTTGATCCCAGACCTGGTTGCAAGCTCCTGCTCTGCTTCTTACTGTTGGGTGATCTTGGACAAGTGCCCTATATCCTGTAAAACTCAATTTTCCCATCAGGAAAATGAGGACGATGACCTTAGCTACTTCCTTGGGTTGCAGAGACATTAGGTGACATGATGTTCTCAAAGCCTCAGCACTAAGCCAGCACATGGCCAGTACTGGATAAGCAGTAGTTCCCATCTCCTCTCACTCACAGGAGAGGACACCTGTGATCTGAGTCCCACTTGCATGTGTTCCACCCTCCCAACTAAACACCTCACACTGTTTCTCCTGTTTTCCCAGGTAGCTGGCTGTTGTTTTGAGTGAAATGAGTTCGTAGAGGGTTTTATACAGATGAATGACACAATAGACACAACTGTTCTCAGTCTTGGGTTAAATGTCAGGTGTCTTTGCTTTGGACTGGAATTAACTCAGCATAGCATCTTAGCAGTGGGATTTCTTACTCTAATCACAAATGTTGACTGACAACTAAATGCTCCTTTCATTCTTAAAAAAGGGGGAAGAAAAGAAAAAATATACCATAAATGCAATTTGTGTGATAGACATAAATCTTTGGGAACACGTAGTTGATTGAGAAAGGGGAAAGTTCCAGCTTGGTTATGCAATGTCATGCCAGTTAAGCATCACTGACTGAAGTGGTTGACCTTTGCCCATTTTATTTTTAATATGGACATGTTTTCAGCACATTCTAGTCTCTTTCCTCAGAGTTCTCAGAAATTGTTGCTGTTCTTTCTGCAAGGCACTGGCAGAGCACTAAGCTCTTTTGCTTGTTAGCTGGGTGAATAAAGGACTTCTGATTGCAAAGTCCATCTCCTCACCCATCCCAGGTTAGCTTTCCTAAAATAGCAAATTGTTCCTTACCACTAGAGGGCACCAGTATCCCAGGCTTGCTCCCTAATCCCACATGAAGAGGACAAAATTTCTAAATTGTGTTTCTCTCAGGAAAACTAGTCTCCATGGCAATTCGTTGCCCTCTTTTTGCCAAGGTGTTCCTGTCCTCTGTCTTAGGCTTCATGTGTTGCTCTCTTCAGTCTCAGAGCCCATTCCTGATGTGGGAGATGTCATCCAAGAGCAGGTGACTTAGAACATCAGTTTCATGGCATCTCCGTGTGAAAGGATGTTAAAGCCAGAGGGAGCCTTAATCATGTCCTTCCTCCATCCTTTCATTCACTCAACCAAGATTCAGGGAGTCTGGATGACTTGTCAGGAGATGTACAGCCAGGAAGGGACAAAATCCAAGCTGGAATGGGTTCCCTGACTCCTCCATCCTCTTTTACAATAACAATATTCCAAATCATTTAAAATCCACCAAACTAGTATTTATCCAGCATTCACTCTGGACCAGGCATTATTCTGGTACAATGCTCACGCTATTCATTTATTCATTCAATAAAACATTTGCTATACATCTTCTACATGTGAGGCACTATTTGAGGGAATATGGTTATGGACAGAACAAACCAGGTTCCTGCTCTCACAGAGCTTACATTCTAGTGTGCTCATGGGAGCACAGACCTCTGTCACCAGAGAACTTGGCCCTGGGGAAGGAAAATCACTTTGAGAATGTTTAGTGGAGTTAGATATTTCACTAGAGGGATGTAGCCACCTAATACTGAAGACATTCTAGACGTGTTAATAATTTATTTTAACTATCTCCTGTCCAGCAGTTTGAGAGAGACCTCCGGCGCTATGCCACACATGAACGGAAGATGATTCTGGATAACCATGCTTTATATGACAAGACCAAGGTACAGTTCTCTTCCTAAAATGGGCTACTTTGATCCTCATCCCCAAGGCTGGCCCCCAAGCTCTTTTCAGGAACTGATTTTAGTATCCAAGTATGGTTTCCTTTGTTATGCGTGTTCTATTTCCAGTTGATCAGAGTTGAGGGCAGCAGGAAAGATTTCCACAGACTCACAGTTTCCACCTGGCCCAGAATGCACTTCGAGAGCTTTTGGCTGAAAGATGATGAGCTAATTGGGCTTCCAGAACCAGTCCAGCAGTGCATATTAACGGGTTTGGTATATCCTTGGTGTTGGCAATGAGTAACTCCAAAGTAAACCAGGGATCCCCAGAAATCACAAATACTACTTGTGTACCCCTCAAATGCAGGGGGCAGTGGCATTCTGAGTGGCCATGTAGGCCATTAACAACAGTCTGCTGCAAGAAAGAGAGCAACGGAACTGCCCTGAGACATAAATGAGCAGCCAGCCAGTCTCACTCACCAGCCATGTCACTCATTTGGCGTGCTAGTCTTACTGTGGTCATGATCCAATTCAGCCCTCAGCAAAACGATAGATGACTGGAGAAGTTATGAAGAGTTAAATATCCAACTGTTAAATACACAGTACTAAGGGCTACTCTTCTTACAGTGATCAAGGACACCAAAATAGGCTCCAGGGGAAAGAAAACTCAAAATAACTAGAAGTAATGGTACTGGCCAGGCACAGTGGCTCACGTCTGTATTCCCAGCACTTTGGGAGGCCGAGGAGGGTGGATCACTTGAGGTCAGGAGTTCAAGATCGGCCAACATGGTGAAACCTCATCTCTACTAAAAATACAAAAAATAATCAAGTGTGGCGGCTCGCACCAGTAATCCCAGCTACTTGGGAGGCTGAGGCAGGAGAATCATTTGAACGCGGGAGGCGGAGGCTGCAGTGAGCCGAGATCACACCACTGCACTCCAGCCTGGGCAACAGAGTGAGACTCTGTGTCAGAAAAAAAAAAAAAAAGTAATGTCCTTTCCCTCTAGGAGCTTGTAGTCTAAATGAGGTGTACTCAGTTAGAGTTGTCTCAGTTACAAGTGTCAGAAATCAAATCTAAAGTGACATAAACGAAAAAGGGAACTTGGGTTATATTCCGCAATATCTAAGGGTTCAGGGGCAGCTGAATATGGGTGATCAGGCAGGCTTCCCTCAGTATTGCCTTTATTCGCAGGCAGGTTTTCCCATAAGTCCCACTCTTCCAGTTACTTCAACAGAGAAGAGCCTGTTTCCTAATAGTTCCCCCAAGAATCCTACCTGATGCTCATTGGCCAGGACTGGGTCATGCGCCGATCCCTGAACCCATTACTGTGGCTCTGATTGGCCAGACTTGGGTCATGTGCTTCTTCTTGGAATTGGGAGCAGCTCCACCTAACCCTCCTGGACTGAGAGTCAAGAGGAGCGGTTTCTCATAGAAAAATCCAGGTGCTGCTCAGAGAAGAGGGGGCTGTGGATGCTGGCAGGAAAGCCTTGGATGCTAAGCATGTGGGTGAAGGCAGATTCACATAGTACAATGAAGGAACACTTACCAATTAATACATTCTAAATAGTCCAATGTAAGCAAGTACCTTCTATGTGCCTAGCACTGTGCTATGTACAAGAAGGGACGGAGGAGAAGAGCTGCTTGATCTTAGAGAGATAACAGGGTGGGATCCTGCTGGGGTTAGAGGCAAGCATGGAAAACTAGAGGAAAACCCAACACATACAAGTATCCTATAATTACCAGCAGTACATAATTATGACTGCATGTTAGAATTACCCAGTGCGTTCAAATAGATTGATTACAAGACCTCTCCTGAGCTTCTGATTTCGTTGGACTGGGGTATGGCTCAAGCTTCAATGTTTATCTTTTAAACTCCATCAGGTTGTTCTAATAAACAGCTGTGGTTCAGAACTACAGCCCATAGGAAAAAATATACAAATGGCTTTTGCTGAATATGTTAAAGCTGTTATGATTTTACCTTAATTCATTTAGTACCATATTTTGGAAAGTCATTTAAAATGACTTTTTATACTCAGAAGCAGGGCTCCTGTTTGGGCTATAGTTCATTCTGACAAGGCAGTTTTATAAGCAACACTTTCACTGTGTCCACACCATGGTGCTTATGAAAAATATCTGAATGCACATATTTCTTGTTATGTTTTCAGAGGATATTCCTCAAGGCAGAAAGTGAAGAAGAAATTTTTGCGCATCTGGGATTGGATTATATTGAACCATGGGAAAGAAATGCCTAGGAAAATGTTGTCAACCTTTTTTCCCTTTTGTTTTCAAGTTAAATAAATTATGCTTCATATTAGTAAAAGATGCCATAGGAAAGTTCAGGGTTATTTAGGTCTTATTGAAATGCAGATCGCTACTAGAAATATATAGCTTTGGAAACATGGGAAGGCGCCACTGGTAATGGGTAAGGTTCTAATAGGCCATGTTTATGACTGTTGCGTAGAATTCATAATGCATTTTTCAAGAGAAACGATGTTGTCATTGGTGGCTGATTCAGGGAAGCTCATCAAATCCCACTTTGTTCACAGTGTAGCTGAAATACTGTCTATCTCTAATAAAAACAGAAGGAAACAAGATGATGGAATCTGTTTTTCTTCACTCAAATATTATAAACTATTTTAAAACACAAGTGTAACCAAGCGGAAGAATAAAGAGCTTACAGTTTCTCTTAAGGGGACAAACAGGCTTACTTAGAAGATGCAGAGATTCCAGAGGGGATTTGGGTCCCTTCTGGAGCTTGTGGAGGAGGGGTGCTGCCTCTGGACTGGCTCAGCTCGGCTCAGTGCCTGTGTACAGCTGGATCCCTAAGCATCCCAGCACAACACCATGTAAAGGATGTATTCTCCCTGCCATCATGCTGAAGGAAAGACAATGTCCTCAACCACCAAAGAAATATCTCCCTCTTTTTTCCATCTTGGAGCTTCTGTCTACACCTTATGGCTTAGTCCCTCTCAGGAAGTCAATCTCTCTTGGCTTCATCTGAGGGTACCCAAGGGAAGGGAGGGAGCCCTGGCTGAGGGAAATTTTGGAATTCCCGGGCTCCAGACCTGTTCTTTCCTCCTGCCTCCTCCAGGAGGCATGGACCCTTTGCCTTGAAGGGAATTAACAGGCCATCTGTTCCAGCTGCTTCCGTGTCTTCAGCCTGCTAAAGAGCTGGGAGGCCTATGACGACCCTTCTCCCTTCCTTCCAGTCCCTCTGGGAAAAGAATGTTGGGAGATACAATACCTTTTGGCTATTGTGACTAATGCTGCTATGAACTTTGGCATACAAGTATCTGTTTGAGTCCCTGCTTTCAATCCTTTTGGTAGGGACCTAGTAATAAAATTGCTGGACTCAATGGTTATTCTATACCATGTTTAACTCTTTGTGGAACTACTGTACTGTTTTCTATAACAACTGCACCCTATTACATTCTTAACCAACAGTGCTCAAGCGTTCCAATTTCTCCACATCTTCAACACTTGTTATCTTCTGCATTGTCTGTTTTGTAATAGCTATCTTAATGGGTGTGAAGTGGCGGGTGAAAACTTTTGTCCATTCTGGAACCTAAAGACAGTCCAGGCTGAAACTAACACACTGAAAGGGCCTCAGGTTGTGTGTGTGTGTGTCACATCTTGAGTTGATGGCTAAAAAAAACTGGGGACAACAAGAGGGTGAACAGCAGCCACCCCCACTGACCTCAAATCCCAAAATCCACAAAGTATTCTAGTCTTTTCTGCTGTCCAGTGTTTCTCGGTTATGATATTCAAGATTATTCTAGGTAGTAAGTAGATTAATATTTTCATACTGATATAATCGATAAATATTTATTGAGTGCTTACTATGTCAGTCATTTTTCTAGGCACAGGGCATAGAAAAGATAACAAAACTGTCAAAAATCTCTGCCTGTATGATTATAAGCATAAAGCTTATGTTCTAGAAAGGTGTTTGTATTCGAGAGGTGTTATGAAAATGGTTCCTTATTGATGGTAGTGATATAAAGCTTCCTTTTTGGAGTAGGCTTATTTAAATAAGAAAAGCGACTCAAGGTCAGGGAAATCACTTAGGAAATATTACCAGTGGAATGGGGGTGTGGCAAGAATGAAGAGAGAGGGACGCGGGTGGCTGACATTGGGGAAATGTGCAGGTGGCCTTGTCACCTTCACTGAGCAACTCCCCAGCCCTGTTTTCTGGAGGTCCCCACCACACAATAACCCCAGGAGGTCCATGCCGGAGGAGTTCCCCCATCAGAGAACCTCACAGATTCTAAATGCTACTTTCCTTATTTGAAAAGGCCTGTTGGAGATTCCACAAATGCGCATGTCTTTGTTTTTCTTTTTTTTTTTCTGTAAGCCAGAATTTTTATCAGTTCTGGCTTTTTTTTTTTTTTTTTTTTTTTTTTGTAGGCCAGAATTTTTTTCAATTATTGTGGAGGCTAGTTACCAGAACTCAGCCTTCGCCAGTGCCTCCTTCTCTGATGGGGGAACCCTCGCGGCATGGACCTCCTGGGTTATTGTGTGGTGGGGACCTCCAGAAAACAGGGCCTGGGGAGTTGCTCAGTGAAGGTGACAGGCCACCTGCAACATTTCCCCAAATGTCCAGCCACCCGCGGCCCTCTCTCTTCATTCTTGCCACACCCATATTCCACTGGTAATATTTCCTAAGTGATTTCCCTGACCTTGAGTCGCTTTTCTTATTTAAATAAGCCTACTCACAAAAGGAAGCTTTATATCACTACCTAATCAATGCAGCGAACCATTTTCATAACACCTCTCGAATACAAACACCTTTCTAGAAACATAAGCTTTATGCTTATAATCATACAGGGCAAGAGATTTTTGACAGTTTGTTTATCTTTTCTATGCCCTGTGGCCTAGAAAAATGACTGACATCAGTTAAGCACTCAAAATATTTCGATTATGATCAGTAATGAAAATATTATCCTACTTAACTACCTAGAAATAATCGTTGAATATCATACATAACCTGAGGAAACACTGGACAGCAGAAAAGACTAGAATAGCTTTGTGGAATTTTGGGATTTAGGTCAGTGGGGTGGCTGGCCTGTTCACCTCTTGTTGTCCACCAGTTTTTTTAGCCATCAACCTCAATAGTGTGACACACCACACACAACCTGAGCCCTTTCAGTGTGTTAGTTTCAAGCCTGGAGCTTCGTTTTAGGATTCAGAATGGACACAAAGTTTGCACCCGCTTCACTTCACAGCCATTAAAGATGAGCCCTATATACAATAACAGACGAATGCAGAAGATATACAAGTGTTGAAGATGGCGAGAAATTGGAACGGCTTGAGGCACGGTGTTAAAAGTAACTAGGTGGCAGTTTGTTATAAGAAAACAGTAAAGCACGTCAGGTTCCACAAAGGTTAACACATGTATGATGATAACCACTTGAGACCAGCAATTTTATTACTAGTCCTACACCAAAAAGGATTGAAAGCGAGGGACTCAAACGATACCTTGTAATCCAAATTCATAGCAGCTTAGTCCACAATAGGCCAAAAGGATGTTTGTATCTCCACATACTCTCTTTCCCCAGAGGGACCTGAAGGAGGTAGGAGGAAGGGTCGTCATAGGGCCTCCCAGCTCCTTTAGCAGTGCTGAAGACACGGAAGGCAGACTGGTAAAACCGATGTGCCTGTTAATCCCTTCAGGCAAAGGGCCGCATGCTCCTGGAGGAGGCCCAGGAGGAAAGACAGGTCGGGAGCCGGAATTCCAAATTCGCCCTCAGGCACCAGGCTCGGGCCTC